TTCATTCTTATATATTCATCTCTATGTCTAAAAAAGGAATTAAATTAAATCAGTGAATTAATTGAATGAACGAATGAAAAACAAATTCTAATTTCAGTCACTGAAGACATTGTATTCACTCTTATATGAATACACTTGGGAAAGGTATGAATCTATCTCTTCTCCTTCTAACTATGGGTTAAATAGCAGGGCAGACTGGACTCCCTAGCTTTGATTGACAACCAGTCTAGAAGAAGGATGACTTTTAATTTAAAACCTGCAATAAATCTGGAACTGGTACAACTACCTTATCTCAGTCAGCAGGATGGCAACATTTAATGGCTAAAGCAGTAAAATACTTTGACTAACAGAAATGAATTAACATCTGATAATCTGTATAAAATTCTACATTAGAATAGGTTATATATTCCTTAGGCATTTCTCTTGTGATTTTTCTAGTCAGTCCATTAAAGTCAATTCAACTGTCAGATTCACTTGTCTTGTTTCAACTCTGAGATTTGTAGAGATTACATACACTCATCATGAGACTTGATAATAAAACTCAGAGTAGAGAGAAGATAAGTGAATATTTAATCTTATTTATTACTATTAATTACTATTGATATTTAACACTGTAATTGCAATGACTGCTTAGCATAAAAAATGTTACCTTCTAGAAATACACTTCTTAATTGTTTTTTGGCAAAACACAGTCTTTGTTTATCCAATTCATATGTATAGATATTGATTTTATTTATCTACCTTTAATGTAAAATTTTCCCATTAATATATTAATTCAGAAAACACCTTATAGAATAGGCCATGTTTTGGGATAATGAATAAGTTAATGTAGCTGAAATTCACTTGCATTTTTGAAGATGGATCTGTGATGATCTCAGAATGAAACATATTTTTTGTATATAAGTATACAGTAATTTAGGCTCAGTAAATACTGCATATTTTAGAATTCAATTCTTTCAAATATTTATTGTTATAAACGCAAGACGTTTTGGAGCTATTATGTTTAATGAACATTTTCCTAATGTATGAATATCCATTTACAAGGGTGATTGTTGTGTCTGGATAGATTGATCACACATCATGTTGTGTGTCACAAGCTTTTAACTCACATGGGTCATTGTTGCAGGTGGGAGTGGGGTGTTTGAGAGAAGAAAATTGTACCAATTGTGTACAAGAAATAATGTTTTGATGATTGACCATAAAATAAGTAACATGTGGTGAAGACAACTCACGTGAAATAAAACTATATCATATATACAAACAGACATCCTTTAGTTTTTATATTTGATTTCACTTTTTAGCTCTTTAGCCATCCACATATAAGTGATGTCTAGAGAAAAACACATGATCTCCAGCAGATTGGCCCCTCATGAGGATAGTACTAACATGATGGTAATGATAATATTAGCTGTTTCCTTATAAGGAAACATTTGGTATTTATTGATTGAGCAGCCAGCGCTACTTTCAGTTGAAAATCATAAAATATTCTTCTTTAAGCAATTTTTCAGGAAAATAGCTTTCTCAAATCCAGTCCATTTTTAACCATTTATTTGAAGTAATGTGCAACAACAACATCTTAATTATGCCATTTTTTTCTCTTCAAGTTACATGTGTGTAGTGATAAAGACAAGCACAGGTATAGCTTATCTGAAGCTTTATTCAACTTAGAATGGAGTGTGTCTGAGCTGGATTTATTTAAGAAGAGAATATGTATAAGGGGAGATAATTCATACCACAATGGGATGTCCATTTTACTTGTTGCTACTGTTGAAAGTCTTCAAGTGATGTTTCTTTTATTTGGTACAGTTTTTGTGATTCTGTAGCATCAGTTTATAAGGTTCAAAGAAGGATGATCTTTGCTGAGACCCTCAGGCTTCACTCACTTAAATTAGACATTGAGCTGAGAAAGTAGTTGTATACAACTGACATTTTAGCTATTTCTGAATGGGTTTGGCATCATATATGATAGCCATATACAAAGTCTAGATCAGACAAGGGTATTTTAGAATATGACTCAATTTTTTAAGTTCAAGTTTTTGCAATTTGCAGTGTTGAGCAAAACTACCTCTAGTCTAGCCTATTCTATGTTCAATTTCCTACTAAATTTGTTATAACTAATTGATATACCAAAGTGATGAAAGTTCCTATTGTTACTTACAATCAGATGGGGATAAATTCTGAATGAGCAACCAAGATTGCACATTATCAGGCTCGGATCAATTTGACAAAATCATGTGATGTTCATCATCATAAATCATAAACTGATCATCAAATTAAAAATAATCAATAGAAATGGAAACAATTTGCTTTCACTCTTTGTTTCCATCCATAGCCAATCCTTAAAATTATTTCTAGACATTAAAAGATTTAGTGTAGGTCTTGTTAAATTGTGTCTTGAAAGTAAGGTGCCTGGAAAAAGAAGTAGGGGAGGACCATAACAGAGGACCATAACAAATGGCAGGAAATAACACTGCCATTGGTGGAAACAGCAACTAATAAAATACAATAAAAAAGCCACAGATATATTTATATCATGTAAGTATTACAGATTTTGCATGTACATGAATGTACTTATTACCAGGATGCAGAAAGTTAGGATAGTAATGACCTTGCAAGCAGGATATAGGAATATGGATGGCTTGACTTGCTTGAAAATCAACATTTAAAAACCTAATTTTTATCTGATTTTGAATATTGACCTGAGGTACTCAAGGGAAACAGGGACTATCTCAGTCCCCATGTAGACCATTAGTATGATGGTCAGAATTTATCAGAGAAGAACAGATAAAAAAACAAATGGTAGAAAATAAAAATCATTATGCATAAATGGATAAATTTGGGTAGATGAACATCACAGACGGATAAAATAGACCCGATTATTACAAACAGATTGAAAGAAATGAATAGAAAGATATGAGTTGATTAAATATACAAACAGGATTAAATTGTAAAAGATAAAAAACAAAGGTTGGTAAGTTAGGATGACCTAATTGATATAGAAGGGTTTGTGTGTATGCATTTGTATGTAAATATATGTATATATATATATATATATATATATATATATATGTGTGTGTGTGTATATATATATATATATATATATATATATATATATATATATATATATATATATATATATATGAATGCATGTATTTGCATACATATGCATGAATCTGCATAAACATATGTATATGTGTGTATGCCTATAGGTACACATGACTGTGTGTGTGTATATATATATTTTCATTAGATTATATATATGTATACATATGTGTGTGTGTGTGTGTGTTTGTGTGTATGTCTATACAAGTGTATGTACCTGTGTGTCTGTATATGTATTTGTGTATGTGTACATGTTTGTGTCTTCCTTTTGTGCAAGTATGTGTGCCTGTGTATGTATATATATATATATATATATATATATATATATATATAAAGATAAAGATTAGAAGAATGATTGATTTCTTTATCAAGATCAATCCATACCATTTTGCAAAATCAACAAATGTACGTCTTTTGGCCTGACCCATGGCAGCCCCCATTATTCACTGCAATTCTTTGCTAAGAGGCTGGCAGATCGCCACTGATAAAAGCAAATTATCCAAAATGAAGATGAATGTAATTTACTACCACAACCAACTAACATGGCAAAAAATGATTCCCTTATTTTAGAAATTGAAATGAAAATGACACTGGAACAATGAATCAATTCATGTTGTCAAAAAAGTACAGAAAACTTGATCAGTTGCAAGAATTATTTTTTTTTGCTTTGCTTATTGTTTCTTTGTTCATGTTTATTGAGCACGTGAATATCTTGGGAAATGGGATCAAAGGATTTTTTTTTAATCATTTCACCTCAAGCAAGGCAATAAAGTCACTAAGATATTGCATCATAAGTGGAATTAATTTTCCATGTCTCAGAATAAATAAGCATTCAAATTTCTACTGATAGAAAATTTCCCCCCCAAAAACAGATTTCACATTATATCCATAAAATTCAATTATTTGTTTGAGAAGTGCTTAAAATTTCTTTCTTGTTGCTTCACAGGGAACCAGACAAATGAATTAAATACATTGTTATAAAACTACTTTGTCTAGTTTGATATAGGATCATAAAAAATGACGTCTGAACTAAAAACTAGTAATTGCCATTATAACTGCTTTGTTCATCAATGTTTTCTGGCTGGAATCTTTTCTAGAGAATTAGTTATTGGGCTTAGAGTTAAAACTCTAAAACACTCATTGGTGATTGAACTCTTTACACGTGTTAGTTAAATATTGCTCTATGGCAAGCACCTTGAATGCTCTTTCATTAGTTTATTCAAATCAAGTCAACATGAAATACAATCTCTCTCTTTTAATTATTCACATGAACAATATATTCACATTGCTGAAATTGCAATTTGCTAAAGTTTTTAATTATTTTATAATTTTAAAAAGAAAGCTAAAACATTTTGTGTTCATTACTTTACGTTAATTGTGGACAAAATTTAGACTCTGATTTATCCATTGAATTTATTCATCTAAATGTTTTAAAAAGTTTTTTTTATGAAAACATTATTTTATTTATATATTTATTTGTTAAACTAAAAAATGTCTGTGTTTTAACTGCTTACATAATATTTAAAATTATACTTAAATGAAAATTCATTCACTTGAAATTTGTGTTTGGTTAAATTATTCCTGAATAAAAACTGAATAAAGGAAAATGGATTTTGTTTTTCCAGCCAAAAATTGCCAGTCAGTTTTTCTCTTTTGTGTCTAATCTCAAATCACAAATTATTGGTGCATTGCAATTTCTAAGGCAATCCAACAGTGCGAGAAAAAGAGGAAAGGCAGGGGCGTGTAGATGTAAAGAAGTAGAGAGTTGGGAGATTGTGAGTTAAGAAAAAGAAGGTGAAAGTTTTAAAAAAAGAGAGCGGAATTAGAGGTTTTGGGTGGGGAGAATAATTTCATCAAAACTTGTGTCAATATTAATATTGTCCTGCGTTTAGTGTAGGTCAGCAAGAAGAGGAGTGGAAAGAGAAAAAAAAAATGAGAAAGAAAGGAAAGTGGAAGGGTGAAAAGGAGAGTGAAGAAAAATAGAGATAGATATATGATAATGGAGAAGAGAAATAGAAAGGGTTTGTGAGAGAGGGTGGCAAAGAAAGAAGAGAGATTGCAAGAAAAATAGAGAGAAAACAGCTTGAAAGACAGAGATTGGAAACTGAAACTATAGAGAAAAGAAAGACTAATTTGGAGATAGAAAAGAACAGAAAGATGAAAAGAGGGTGGATAAGGTTTTTTAGAGAGAAGAGTGAAAAGAGATAAGGAAAGTGACAAGTGTGAATTAGAGAGAGAATGGCCAGAGAGTAAATGGAATAGAGAGAATAAAGGTCAAAGGAAGGAAGAAAGAGAGAGAGAGAGTATGTCAAGGTAAAGAAGAATGAATTTAGAAATAGAGGGTAAAAAAAGAAAGATGTTAGAGAGAGAGAGAGAGAGAGAGAGAGAGAGAGGGGAAAAAGAGAAGATAGTAAAGCTTTAGAAAAAGAGAAGCTGAGAAATGGATGAGAATAAAAAAAGAAACGATATGAAATAAAAAAGAAAAGTTATTTGAAAAGAAAAAGTGGTTATATAGAAATAAGTAGTTTATATTTATCTACATATATATGCATATAGGTGCACACATACATATGTATAATATATATATATGTGCATACAAGTTTCATTAAAAACGACTGACAAGGCATTGTGGTTAAGTTTTTTATTTAATTTTTCTTGTGTTCTTATAGTTTTCTTCTTTTCTGTCAAGAAATTTTTGGTTTGAAATTTATTGCAATGATTGTCCATAAAAGGAGAAAATTAGAAGAACTGAAGAAAAATTAAATAAAATACTTAACTGCAGTACCATGTCAGTGTTTTTCAATGAAACTTGTAAAATAGAAGGATTGTTGCCCAAATACACAATTATATAAATATACATACATATGGGTACACACACACACACACACACACACACACACACACACAGAATTCTGTGTGAATGCTTTCCCACACATAAGCATATATGAAAGACGTTTGGATCTTGACCAAAATTTGACAATCTTTCATTGACCAATGGCCAGAATATTATATAACATTTTGGATCTTGTTGTTCAACATTAACCTTGTTGTATCCAGATTATAATCAAGGTGCACACAACTGTAAATAGTGAATGTCTGGAATCATTATTTGTCTTTGCAACATAACTTTCAAACAGACCAAGTGGTCACATGATCCTTGTGACCATTGCCCTCTAAATAGTTGCAAATTTGGCAAAGAGTAATAAATCCACTTTCTTCTTCACTAAAGGAAAAAAAAACAGTCTGCTCATCTATTGATGTAAAGTCAGCAGACAAAAGCTGATTGAATCATCCAAATTTATAATAACAAAGGTTATTTGCTGGGCTTTCAGATTTTAGTAATATATAAGTGTACTAATAGGTTGGTGGAGAGTAAGACTGAACAAAAGAACATTTTTGATTTGAAATTTATTGCAAAGTTTGAAAATAAACTTTACTTGGATTAGAATTGAAGCCATTTTGATAAAATATAAAAATGAATCCCATTTAATACTTTTTATATAAAATTTCTATCAAAATAACCAGAAGTGTCTTACTGCACATATATGAACAGAAGCTCTTCCCTGAGGTTACTCTGTTGATAGTTGTGATTGAGTGCATTTGTATACTGTGCAATTATTGCACTTATGGTGAATATACATCAGGTTTTGCTTTAGATTTGGATAATATTTGCATGATGCAAATTTGGTTGTGGATCCATTGACAGTGATCCATATTCTGGTTGATCTTCTATGAGCAGAAGAACACCCAAAATTGTTGAATGCTAGTCAGTTCTTGTTGGTACAAGAATTAGAAATTCTTGAAAGTCCACAGATTTTTCAGAAAGTATGCAGCCATTTTAAATAATTCAAATTTTCATTTTTCATATTTATGTTATTTTTTTTTCAAGGTAGGGGTGAAACATTGTATGATGTGAGTCTCTCGACCCCACCACTGTAACTCAAATTTAGCTCACTGTGACTTCTGTTTTTTCCAAAGCTAAAATAATTGGAATATAGCATTTGTAGAGTCCCTTGTAAGTAAATTGCATTGCCTTGTGCCATCTTGTTGTAAATGTTTAAATGTCTGCCTTTGAATTTTAATTGAATGTTTTCTTTTTTGTTTGTTTGTTTTGGTGCTTTTTTTTCTAATGTTTTCACTTATCCTTCCTAGTGTCATGTGTATTTTCTTCTACTCTTTGATATTAATTATCAAACTTCTTACCTCAGCTCCTCCCGCTAACTGTTGCTTATCAATCCTGAGAAATTGATGTGATAAAAGTGAAGTAAATTTTACCATTCCAATTCTTTTTAATTGGTAGTAGACATCAGAACTTATACTAAGTCATAACTTAATATGAACTTCCTCGTATTTTATGTGTTTTTTTTTTTACAGATTAAAAGGAGTAGATAGGCTCACCAATCATCTGACCCACACTCATTCCTTGTCTGTTAAACTGGAGTAGACGTTTATCCCTTGTTTCATGATCAGGATATGGTTTACTGTTTCTCTGTCTTTCTTCTACCAGGACCACAATGATTTAACTGTCTTTATTTTTTGGTGATCAGACCAGCCAGTGGCTGTGACTTTCCATTGTGAGGGTACCAGGTAGGTACGTTGCCAGCTGCTGCTTTTTAGTGGAGCCCAAACTATTTGTTAGCACTTAGAGAGGCTGCTCTGATCAAAGTCACATAATGTTGGGGTATCTATGTGTAAGTGTCCCTGCATGTATTTCCGGTTGGGAACCCTGAGGTCACATTATACTCTGCTCTCAGCCATGCACTGGCTGGTTTGAATTGCCATTGACAATTATGGTGGTCTTTCTCCTCTCTCCTCAAAACATACCTTGTGAAAATCACAACAAAAAGAAATAAAACTAAACCAGTTAACAACCCCACCTCTCCTCAGTTTTTCTTTCTCCAATATTTGTGGTATCTGTTCCAACTTCTGAAGCATAGAACTTTTTCTCCTGGAGCAGTCACCAGATATCATTGCCCTTTGTGAAACCAACTTAAATTCTTCCATTGCTACCAATAAATTCTTGGTTCTAGGCTATCCTCCTCTTTGCTGAAAAGATTCCAGCATTCACATGCATGACCTTAGTTTTTACATCTGACATAATCTTCTGATAGCCAGGGAATTGTCTCTCAAGGTTGCTGAATGCTCTTTCATGTGTTTCCATTTTTTGTTACTGAACTCTGTCAGTTATCTCTTTCCCCTTTATTGCCCTCCCTCTTCTCAGGACTGCAGTATATTTGATGCAATAGCTGACAGTATAGAAAAGGAACTTTCTCTCTGACCATCTGCAAACATCTTTGTCTTCAGTGACTTTAAAGCTCACCACAACATGTGGCTGAAACATTCTGAAGATACTGATGTTGCCAGTAATCAGACATTAAATTTTTCTATTACCCAATCTCTTACTCAAATCATGGACTTCCCTACTCATTTCCCAGGCCAAAACAAGCAACAGGATTCTCTACTTGATTTATGTCTTACCTCATCTCCTTGCTCTTGTCAAGCTTTGCAATCCTGCCCTCTTGGTAACTCGGACCACTCCTTGGTAGTTATTGATATTTCATTCCAAGCATCAATTAAACAGGAACCCCCTATACATAAGATCTTTTTCGGTTACCATTCAAGGAAACATGGTCCAGTGGATAAAGATGTTGGTTAGATCCAGTGACTAGATCCAAAGAGTTGTTAGTTCAATACCATGCCACAGCAGTGGTAAACCAAAACATAGAGTTGAGTTAAAAGGAAATAACTGAGACATGTAGATGAGGCATGGCACGTGGAACTAGAACAATCTACTCTGGTGGATGAAATAAAGAGTTCGGTTCAAAATTCCAACCACCTGAAGAAGGCTGGAGTGTACAATGGGCAAAACGTTGTGAATAAGGCAATGAAGATGAGGCTAACAGTCTGAAAAATGTAAATAATGTAAGTAATCATAATACCTCATCTCAGAGATATAACCAGATAAGGCTGGTCAGTTTGACAAGGTCAAAATGGCAGCTGATGTATAAAACAACCTCAAGATTGTTGTTAACTGAGGAAAAAGATGGCTTGTCAATTTTAACATCTCCTAAACTAAACTTCACTCCATTGATTATCTGAGAGACGTCTCTCTGCTTTCCATCAGCATGGCTGATGCTAACCTCCAGGAAAGTGATTCATTGAACCTTCTGGTGCTAACATTCTCAGCTGACATGAAGTGGAAAGACTATATTGAATCCATTGCTAGGTCAGCTGCTAAAAAGATTAGTTCACTGTGTCATGCAAGACAGTTTTTTCCTCTGGAGTCTATCTTGCATATCTATAAGTTTACTCTTGCATATCTATAAGTTTATATATATATATATATATATATATATATATATATATATATATATATATATATAGTGAAACAAGTTTTATTGAAAAACAATGGATACAATTTATGGAGTATATAATGTTTTTTGGTCAAGTACTTATGACCATTTTAGTCATTATCAGGAATATTAATATTATCAGTGCCATGCAGAAATCTTTTATACATTCTATTTAATCAATACATACATACATATATATATATATATATATATATATATATATATATATATATATATATATATACACACACACACACACAAATGAAATGTGAATGAATAAAATATAAATTCAAACATTCGCAACATTAATTTAAAAATAAGGCTCAATACAATAGTAGGGTGATAATTCTTTATGATAGGGTTTTACATCTGAACATACATGTAAAAGTACATATATGTTTGAATGTAATATCCTATAATAAAGTATCTATATATATATATATATATATATACCTGAAGAGTGGGGACAGACATGTCTGTCTAAGAAACTCTGGAGTTGGGATGCTGAAGGTAACATCAATCATCTAAGTGACATACTTTTACTCACATTGATCCTATCTATCTATCTATCTATCTATCTATCTATATATATATATATATATATATATATATATATATATATTGAATAATATAGACATATTGTGTCTGATTCTTTTTATACTGATCTTTTCTAGTTGTCTAATTGGTTTCTTGATGTTTAGATGAAATTCATCACGGAAGGTACCATAGTTTTTGTGAACCCAAATACTTTTGATCTTTTCCAAGATCATCTTCAGGGGTAAATTACAAAAGTAATCTTATTGATAGGTTAATGTAACAAAGGTTAAATAATAATGTATTGTGGTCACCAGTTAATGGGTGTGGATAATATCATATCACATCAACAGGTGAGATAACAAATAATGGGTGAGCTATGGAAGTAAGAAATATATTATTAGTTTGTATTTTCCATAATATTGGCATTATTATATCCATGATGTGATAACATCTTATTTCACAGATGGAATGGAATAACTGAGAGAAAAGGAATGACAAACATGCTTTGTTCCCAGTGATAGTTTTA